GCTTCTCTAGATCAGATAATTTATGATGAACAAAAACAGTTCAATAGCAAATTTTAGTTTGACATAGTAACTATGAAGAAGAATTATATCAAAGAATCTAATAATAATGGATGTGTATAATGCAGTCTCTTAGCTTTGCAGATCACTTAGAGGGGCAAATCTTGTGAGCTAATACTTCCGAGACTTGGTTTCAGAGGAAGAAAATTATAGGGAAGGAATGAGAAAATCACCTCAAGAGGGACAAAATGGGTTGCCAATCCAGCTGCAACCAATTCCTTACCATTCAGTCTTGCTCCTGTTAAGGCAAAGAACTCCCCTGCGTTCCCCACATGATACCAATCAATTTCAGTAAAATCGAGGAGAAACTATTTTCCTCTATATTTGCATGCTTACTGAGATGCCCAGGAAGATGGGATACATATGAGAAACCACAATCAGTATGAAAGCCAATACTAGCTTCCGGAGATGCAAATACCTATCATGAAATACACCACAGAAAATTTTGATGTTATTATGCAGAGATAGATATCAAGCCAGAAAACACTAAAGATAGACATGTTTCTATAAACATCCCACTAGGATCATATTCATACTCACAGTTTTTTCTGTGACTACCAAGAACTTCATTGGGACCATTAAAGATGCGCCTCCACCCATTGAAATTCCATGGACCAGAGCCACCTATTGATAACATGAATTATTTACTGATACCCTTAAATAGTGGCATAAACTTGGAATCATACAGTCTACAGGGAACTCATTTTCGAATGGAAAACACAGGCGATAGGATTACTTTATTTCAAGCATTACCTGGGTTTTCTTATAAGTATGAATGTGATAGCCAAGCCAATACATTCTGTAAGCCACTTCAAGGCAGGAATCCTCTGCCAAAGAAGGTTCATGAGCGACTTCACTTTCTGTATATATTAGGAACTTAAATATTTTCACAACAGAAAGCATTTACTTGAGTTCCTACCATCATAGAACATCTTCAAGTCCCCACCAGCTGAAAAAGCTCGACCCGATCCCTATACAAGAACACCAAAGCATATCAAGTAGCTAATATCTAAATGGCTCTATATGGAATTGAAGACTTCACCGAAGTTGTGCGTTGATCTATTAAACCACAACCACCAATGCTAGTTCAAGATTTCAGGAAAAATTGGAAGTAACCTTTGATAATTACAAGCTCAGCTTTTTCATCTTTTTCCCACTTTTCCAAGTATTTTGCTAGCAAAGAAACCTGATTGCAGTGAAAAAAAAGTGAATTAAGAACTTGAACAAAACTAGTTGACTTTGTGAGCATACGACTTTTGATGAGATGACATTCAAATGACGAGGCCTGTTCAAGGTGATCAACCTCACATGGTCTATTTCTTCTCCAAGAACAACCTAAAAGATTACATAAACACCCATATGGTAATTACTAATTAGCAGACAGTTATCATGTTCACTATTTGCAGGAAGAAAACTAAAAGCAGAAACATCAAAAGAAAGGTTGGTGCAATTATAAATGCACAAGGAGATTACCTCATCTGAATTTACAACTTCTTGTGCCATTTCAATGATCAATTAACTAGTGGATTAGAAGCCAACCAGCTGCACAAACAAATTAACAAGAAGGGGCAATGAGGAAAGCATGCAGTTTTTGAGCAGTGAACTAATCCCAGATAATTAGTTCCAGAATT